GGCAGGGCAGCGTGGCCGTGCTGGTGCCAGCCCCCAGCCCCGAGCTGTTCTTGAAGGTCTTGCTGCAGGTGGGGCAGCGGTGGCCGGGGGGGTGTGCCGCCGGGGGGTGAGGAGCCTCGGGGGCGGGATGCGGTGGGACGGTGGTGGGGTGGCTGCGTTGGTGGCCCAGCAGCCCGGCCAACTGGGTGAAGGTCTTGGGGCAGATGGCGCACTTGAAGGGCCGCTCGGCAGCGTGGCCGTGCCGGTGCCGGGCCAGCCCCGAGCTGTTCTTGAAGGTCTTGCTGCAGGTGGGGCAGCGGTGGGGGGTGGCCGGGGGGGTCACCGCTGTCACCGAGTGGCTGTCTTGGTGGCCCAGCAGCTCCTCCTCGCTAGTGAAGCTCAGCGGGCAGGCAGAGCACCTCCAGAGCGTCTCCGGTGCCACGGTGGGTGCTGGGAGGAGCGGCGGCATGGCAGCGTGGCCAGCATGGCTCTGGAGGTGTTTCTGCAGGCAGGCATCGGAGACGAAGGCCTTGGTGCAGGTCGGGCACTCGTGGGGCCGGGTGCCAGCGTGGGTGCGGCGGTGGAGGAGGAGGTTGGAGGAGTGGGTGAAGGTCTTGCCGCACTGGGGGCAGGCGTAGGGCCGCTCGCCGGTGTGGACCCGCTGGTGTTGCCGGAGGTTGGTAGCTTGGGCGAAGGCTTTGCCGCAGACGGGGCAGGCGTGGGGCCGCTCGCCCGTGTGGGTGTGACGGTGACGGCGGAGGCTGGAAGAGTTCTTGAAGGCCTTGGGGCAAGCGGGGCAGCGGTAGGGCCGCTCGCCGGTGTGCTGCCGGAGGTGGTACTGGTAGTGGGATGCCCACTTGAAGGTGAGGCCGCACTGGGCGCACTCGAAAGCCCGCAGCCCCGTGTGAACCCGCTGGTGGGTCTGCAGCAGGGAGGAACGCTTGAAGGCCTTGCCGCACTCGCGGCAGGCGTAGGGCCGCTCGCCCGTGTGGCCCCGCTGGTGGTAGAGGAGGGCGGAGGAGCCCTTGAAGGCCTTGGGGCACTCGGGGCACTTGTAGGGCCGCTCGCCTGTGTGGCTGCGTTGGTGGTGGGCCAGGCGGGACGACCACCTGAAGGCCTTCCCGCACTCCCGGCAGGCGTAGGGCTGGTCGGCCGTGCCCGGACCCCCGGCCCGGGACCCGGCTGGCCCCGCTGGTGGCGTCACTC